CATTGAAATTTGAGAAAATCAAAAGAAATTATATATCATCAGGAAGAGCATTAAATTTTCTATAAATCTTTGCTGAATTGGTTCCGATAGCTCTAATATTTTCTGAGGAATTGAGCCTCAAAGTTGAAATTTGGTCGACACTTTGTCGAAAATTTCAAACACCATTTTCTCAAAAACTATAAAGTAGCGATTTCAGATAAATACCATCTGGAAGCCCTTGTCAAGAGCTACAATTCCTTAAAATTTTATCCCAGCCAGTACCACTTTTGGTTACGAAGATATCGCAATTTAAACATTTGTCAGTTAAAATCCAAAAGGACAATAGCTTTCTGTGAAGAGGTTTCAAAATCAGAAACACTAATACAATCAGTAGATGTATCTGTCTCAGAAATTAGCTCAACAGGAGAACTATAATCTACTACTGCGTTTTCAACATTTGTAGGCTCATCATCAAAATCAGATATCTCAAATCATCAAACATATTATTAAAAATTTGCACAGGTAAATTAGTCTCATTAATAAACTTCCTGTTTCTTCTTACATCTGACTCAGAAAATGCAGGACGTAAAGTAACAGAAAATCAAGAGAATGTCATAGGATATGTATTTTTAAGCGATAGTATGAATTTAAGTGATTGCCGCAATGATAATAGAGATGATAATAACTCCATTAAACCCTTAGGAAAAAAGCGCAAAAAATTGAAAATTTCTATTTTCGGATTTTTCTCAATTTTGACTTTCCAAATCGATAGAACGGATCCCAATTAGTCAGAAACAACTCTAACATCAATTAAATTTAGAAATTTCAATGAGCAAAAAAATCCAAAAAGGAAATTGTTTTTATATCCTACTGAACTATTAAAACCATATAATACCTTGGTTACGATAATCATAAACAGGGTCTTAACTCCCAAGGGAGTTAAGGATTTTCATAACTCCCAAGGGAGTTAAGGAAGGGAGTTAAGGATATCATAACTCCCAAGGGAGTTAAGGATTTCCATAACTCCCGCTTTTACCTTGAATAGGTAACACTTTGACAAAAAATAGAAATTTTGATTTATGGCTTATTCCTTTATAAAAATAGACAGAATACAGTAAATTCAGTAGGATATAAAATTATCTATGTACCACGGGAATTATCAGGAGTTAATACCCACGGGCAATTGGTGTCCCTCGGGCCGGAGGCCCTCGGGACACAAACGTTGCCCTGGGGTATTAACACCTGCATAATTCCCTTGATACATAAATAACTATTATGCTCATGAATAATTACTCTTTTCTTTAATGATATTTGAGCAAATTGCCTATAATTATGCATCATTGAAAAGAGGAATAAATTCTCTATAAGCTTGTGTAAAATTGGTTTTTGTAACTTGATAAGTTTTCAAGATATCGAGCTTCAAAGTTGAAATTTGTGTCCAAAATATCAAACTACTTACATTTTCCCAAGAGCTATAAATAGTAGCGATTTCAGATAAATATCATCTTGAAGGCCTTATCGAAAGCTACAATTCCTGGAAATTTTATCCCAGTACCGCTTTTGGTTACGAAGATGTCGCAGTTCAAAGATTTGTAAATTAAAATCCAAAGAGGAAAAAATGGCAAAAAATTTAAAATTTTTAACGGGTCCAAATTATTCATAAACAACTCTTACATCATTTTAAAATGACAATTTCAAAGAGAAAATCGCATTTTTGAGTACTGTATTTTTTTCCAAAGCCTAACAAGATTAGGAATATAAGCAAATATCTTTATTACAATTTAAGAAAATCAAAACAAATTATAGACCATTAAAAAGAGCATTAAATGCTCTATAAATCCGTGCTAAATTAGTTCCAATAGCTCTAATACTTTCTGAGCAATTGAGCCTCAAAGTTGAACCTTAGTCATCAACAATCAAATTTCTCTAATAGATTATTTCTTGAATTTGCCAAGACTTTCTCAAATGAATGAAATATTTCTAGTTTCAAAAGGGAAATCAATTCTGCTACATTTTTTCATTTTTCAAATAATATTATAATTTAATTCCACATAAATTCAACAACTTTCTCCATATAATATAAAAGGTACCTTACTATATACAACCTTGGTTCATGTAAAAGTATGCCTACTTTATGGTGACACTGTTGGCGGTTTATTTATTAAGAGCAATTTAGTCATTTAATTGGGTCTAATGAGTTTGCAGTACAATTTTTAATAGATGTTTTCGAACGAGAAAAAAATCGAATTAAAAATTGAATTGCGATCAAAAAGGGTTTTAATTATTGATTAAGGTGACACTGATTTATAAATTGACTATTTCCTTCTAGAAAAATCACATTTTACAATACGAAGTTAAGTTCAAGGATTTTTTACATACATGCAAGTAACCAATTTTAACGGAAATTCCTCATATTACCAGGAACCAGTTATTTTGGTACCACTTTAAGTCAACTATTTCTATGATAATATGCGCGTGTGAAAAAATGCAATTTTTATTATAATTATTATTAATCGGCGATTGTATTTTTGTAATGCAAAACAATAAACCGGTTTTCGACCTTTGGACTTGGATTTTCAAAAGCGAATTTATTGTTTTCTGGCTAATAATATTGATTCGCGTAAAGATTCAGGCTGATTTTATTTGATTGTATATACATCGTATATACAATCAAATTATAGGAGAATGATGATTTTTATTTTAAATTATTGTTGAATAAGTTTGATCAGTAAAAGATGTTCTAAGCTCTGAAACAGAAGGTTTCTGCAAAATAATTAGGTCATTTTATTTTAGTGTCCTGATATGCTAAAAACTTCTATGGGTTGGTTGTAGCTTTCTAATAGAATTGTACCATATCACAAATAGATTAAAATTTTAACTAATACGCTAATACATATTCTTTGCTAATTTTCCTCTTTTTGTCCCAAAAGTTTCACAACTTTCCCTTCATTAGTTTCCTGGAAAAATAATAAAATGTAAGAGGGTGCATTTTTGCATAATTTGGGTTTTCAAAGTAGATTTTCATGAATTTCTCTAGCTGCTGATTTTAACTGGAAACTTTTGAAACTTTCCATTATTGGTTTACAACAAAAAGACATCCTACTCTTTACCCAAGGGGTAAACCACCATCCCAGAATTTGCTCGAAGGGGAATTTTTTACGCATAATTCCTCAAAATTTCTGCAAATTCCTCCAAATTCCCCACAAATTCCTCCAGATACCCCATCACAAATTCTTCCAAATACCCCACCACAAATTTCTCCAAATACCCCACAAATTCCTCTAAACTCCCTGCAAATTCCTCCAAATTCCCGCAAATTCCTCCAAACTCTTCTCAAATTTCCCACAAATATCTCTACACTACTACTACACTGACTTTAGAGCTAAAACTAATGATTGGTTATCCAGAAAACAGGGGTTAATAATCATAAGTTTTTTCAACGTTCAACCTTTTTTCCATAATATGATGCTAGTATACATACTCGAATTTGGATAGATAAACTTGTATCAACATCAAGTAATTTGAAGTTTTTCTGCACTCAGGGTCATTTTTAAGAAGATTTCGTACCTCTTCTGAAATCATAATCAATGCGCTTTTAAAGTTTCTCCGATCTTCTGGAATTATTCAATTATTCAATTCAATTCAAATGTTTCCAGTCAAAAATAATAACATGAGGAATCTTGGAAATCAACCTACAAAAACTGAACTAATTGAAAATACAGTCTCACACATTTCAAAGTTTTCCTGGATATGCTAGTGAAGGAAAAATTTTGAAACTTTTTGCATGTAGAGAAAAAGGTGAAAAGCTCATTTTCCCAAAATTTCAAAATTTTCCATTGCAAAATAACAACATGAACAATCTTGGAAATCAACTTACAAAAACTGAAATAATTGTTACCTAATACAATCTCACACAATTCAAAGTTTTCCTGGAAAAATAATTAAGGGAAAATTTTGAAACTTTTTGCATGTAAAGAGGAAGATGAGAAGCTCATTTTTCCAATATTTCAAATTTTTCCAATGGAAAACAGCAACATGAAGAATCTTGGAAATCAACCTACAAAAACTGAATTAGTTGAAAATACAGTCTCACGCATTTCAAAGTTTTCCTGGAAAACTAGTGAAGGGAAAATTTTGAAACTTTTTGTATGTAAAGAGGAAGGTTAGAGGCTCATTTTCCCATAATTTCAATTTTTTCCAGTAGAAAATAGCAACATGAAGAATCTTGGAAATCAACCTACAAAAACTGAACTAATTGAAAATACAGTCTCACACATTTCAAAGTTTTCCTGGAAAACTAGTGAAGGGAAAATTTTGAAACTTTTTGTATGTAAAGAGGAAGGTTAGAAGTTCATTTTCCCAAAATTTCAAATTTTTCCAGTGGAAAATAACAACATGAAGAATTTTGGAAATCAGCCTACAAAAACTGTACCTACTCATTATTGTTTTGAATTTTTTAAATTTGGACCTGTAAATCATGAAGTGAAATTTTGGGAGAATTTCTTTAATGAAAATGAATGTCCAACGTTCAACACAAAACTAGTTTTTTTTTTAATTTTCATTTATCATAATAAGAATGTGAACCTCAATGACGTCATGACTACAATTTCCTTAAATTCCTCACAAAGTCCCCATAAATTTCTCCGAAATCCCTATAAATTCCCCAAATTTTCATAAATTCCGATGAGTTCCTTCAAATTCTCCACAAATTCCTCTAAATTCCCAAAATTTTTGGCAAAGAATTCCCTATAGGTGGTTTGCCCCCTTGTCTTTACCTATCTCTGTCGTTTTCAATGGCTAAGCTCCAAGTAGGCTATCGGAAATATCACGTTTCTCTTGCTTTAACTTTATGAGATAGAGAAAGATAAATGTATAATATACCGGATGGGATTTTGTTTATGTGAAAATCTCAATTATTTAAAAAAAAAATTAGATGAAGATGGATTTTTCAGTACGAAACGTCGAAAACATACCTAATTATTGTATCATTCTATGAACTTATTATTCAATGAAAAATTTACCTTAAAATCCCGGTAAGGGCCAGTACAGTCTCGCATTTTTTCAAATTCGCGAAGCTCCCGGCTGGTTTCAGAAGGGCGGCCGAGGGCGGCGACGGGCGTCCGTTCTTCTTGACTAGCTGATCGTTTTCGCCTTGCCGCCCTTTTCGCAGTCGGGAAAAAAGGCCGCCGGCCGCCTCCGACTGGTGTGCAGGTTCATTGATAACAGGGGGCGGCTGATTGATGACGGGGGGCGGCTTTTGAGGGCGACCTGGAGGCTGAACAATCACTGGGGCGCGTTTCGATGGTTCGAGCAGGGAAACTTGTTCGGCCACTTTACCTGAAATAATAATCATTTTCAGTGTTCTTGGAAAGTTCTTAATTAAGTACTTATTGAAGTTCTATAGTGTTCTAGAGTATTTTAGAAGTTTTTCAGTAATTTCTAAATTGTTCTGACAGTATTTTAAATATTCTAGAGTCCCATATTGAAGTGTTCTAAATTGGTTCAAAAGAGTTCGGAAAAGTTTCAAGTTCTTAATTGAATCCTAAGTGAGCGTTCACATAGTTAAACCCAACCGCAGCCTTGGAGGTGCTGCTAATCCTGCCGCCACATACATATCATACATATCTACATTCAGGGTGAACCAAGGCCAGGGTCCAATTATGAAACACCACCAAAGGACCATGAGAGGAGGATCCAGAGGTCAGCTCATTGTTCGAGATGCACTCCATACAAAACAACACCTATTTTTATCTTCAGCAAGCATTTCCGGGTTTTCATACCAGATAGGAAAGAAAGGAAGGTCCTCCAATTAAAGAAGACCACATCTGGTACACCGACGGCTCCAAGACCAGCAAGGGGGTCGAAGCCGGCATCTAAGGGGACAGGTCTAGGGTGGAAATATCCACAAGTTTCGGACAGTACGTCAACGTGTTTCAGGCAGAAATTGCTGCAATAATGCACTGTGCCATACTGATAAATGAAAGGAAAGTTAAGAGTAAAAACATCGTTATTAACTCGGACAGCCAGGCGGCCCTAAAGGCAATCAGCTTCCGAAAGATCAGCTCCAAGCTGGTTGGAGACTGTATACGTACCCTCGAGGAGGTGAGCCTGTCCAATAAACTTATCATAAATTGAGAACCAGGCCATGAGGGCCACCCAGGAAATGAAACTTAGCCAAAGGAGGCTCGGCCACTGAGATCATAGGCCCAAAACCATTCTGCGGAATTTCTGTAGGCAGTTATAAAACATCTATCAAGAACTGGATAGACAGAGAGTTCTAGAGCTGGTGGCAGCGAATACCAGGACAACGACAGGCAAAGCAGTTTATGAAATCTTGCTCGCCTAAGTTCACAGCAGCAAGATTGTTAGGATAACGGTAGGACAATTAACAGGGCATTGTAAACTCAACAAGCACCTGGAAAGAATGAGCCTGGTAGAGGATAGCCTGTGCAGGTTCTGCCATGAGGTAGAATAAACTGCCGTCATTTATAGTGTCATTGCGAAGCGCTATGCCGGCTTAGGTTTGCGAGGCTTGGAGAGAAAAAGGCAATCTAGTCTATAGCTGAGCATCAGCTGTGAGAAAAGTGGACTGTATTTTGCGGTTTCAAAATTACGAGTACAATTGAGATCTTGTATGACACGACCCCTATCCCCTATTCAAATTTGGGGGGTTGAAGCTACAGGGGTGATCAAAACTAAAAAATGGGTCCCCCTCAAATAAAAAACTGACGTGTCTGAGCGTTTTTCCAGATTTCCATTTCAAGTTTTCATTGGCCCACCCTGTATTCTATCACGTAGTTAATTTTTTTTGCTTCTAACTTATTCATATTTATTACGTTATCTGTTTACCTTTTTTTGTGGGGGTTTTTGTCGGACAAAGGGATTTAAATTTATTCGGATTTAGTCCAGTATAAATCGCCGGAGAGGAAACACCGTCAGTTGCGTCCAAGAATTATCGTCTTTTTTTTACACAAGCTTAGATTATTGTGTCGTGTGCCCATATAGTGTACCAATTGACTTCTGGATTTTGGTAAGTAGTACCAACAATTATTTTTTGGTAATTGGGATTTATTGAATCTTGAATAAACAACCCTTGATTTTTCTAATGTCTGAATTTCGAACAATCCAACTTATTTTTTTTATTTATTTTTTTTATTTAAATTGTAATTCATCTGAATCTCTATAACTATTGGCAATTAGTAAAATATACAGGGTGTCCAAAAATTAGTTTTCCAGTATCTATTTTCATCATTAATTTTCTTTTTTTTGATTTGGCTTTCCAAAAGTGCGTTAATAAAGAAAGTATAGATGAGCTTGTGTGAAGGATGAATGATCCACTGTTGTGAGATAGAATGCTGGGTTCTGGTTATGTAGTATGTAGGTATTGTTGGAATAGAACGCTGTATGCTGGATGTAGATACTGTTGTAATAAAATGCTGGAGTGTCCCAAAAAAATTGATTTTTGGCCACAATTTTGCTGTTTAAGCCACTTTAAATCCATAGCTATTCTGTCACTGGAAATTATCCAAAGATGTTTTTGGGTCTTAAGTCTTAATTATTGTAAATTTCAATAAGCCACTAGCAACAACCCAACTTACCCATATTAACACCTTGGGGTAAATTGCTAGTGGAAGTCCACTAAACATTTTCAGCTAAAAATCTACAGATGCATTACACAATAATACTCTTTTATAAAGATAGTATAGCTATCCAGTTATGTAGCTGTATTTTTCAAACAGGCACTTTGAAAATTTTCAATTTTTTTGAGACACTCATGGAGGTGTTGGATGCACTTTTGGAAAGCCAGTCAATAACGTACATCAATAAGTGTTTTCAATATATTTTAAGCCTTGGAACCTTTAACATAGAGTTGTCACAATGTTTTTCTACTAAATCTGACCTTATTTTTCTGGCTGGTGAAGTCAGAAATTTGAAAAACTCAAAGAAATAATTTTTGATGTAAGACCAAAGGAACTCTATGGAAATCTGACTCAAAGTTTCAACTTTGGAGGCTCATATCTCAGAACTGTTTCAAATATTGGAATGAAACTTGTTTGATCTTGAAGAGCATTAAATTCTGATTCAGAATGGTTATTTTTACATTGAAATATATAGAATATTAACGGAGTAATAGATGATTTTGTGAAGTCATGTCGAATAAATTAAATTTTTAGAGACCAATTGCAATGTCGCGTCGGGCAAAACTGCCCGACAGTGATGTTTCCATTTAGGCCACGTCGGACATACAAGGTGACAATTTGACACTTGGACAAAAAATACTATATGAAGAAGATCTCATTTATTTATTTATTTATTTATTAAGAAAACATTTTGCTGTAAATGTTTTCAATAACAATTATTGAAGTTGCGTTTCACTGATTATCCAGAGCAACAAATTAGGATTTGATCATGTCTTTTTGGTAATTGGTGTCCCCTGGGGAGGCCGTCCACCATAATAGGTTAGGATCCCATTTGTTGCATTGAATATACTATATACGGTAAGTGTAGCAGTGGGGCACTACCGAATACCGGCGAGAAATGGTTGAATTATAATTTGGTGTTGGGTGTCAGCTGCACAACGTAAATATTCAGCCTATAATGGGGCTTTAATAGAATAGCTGAATGCTCTTCAACTTTGCCGCAGGCAAAATTGTTTCTGTGTTTTCTAGATGAAGAGTCAATTGATCATATTCTATATTGTAGCTGAAATGAAATGGTCACAGCTTCAAAGGGGTGTTTCTCACTTTAGAAAAATCATTAGGGGGAAGCAAGCCCCATCTCCAAAACAGGAGGGGTTATATTGGAAATAGGATATAGGACAAAAATTGAAATAAGATAATGTTTTTATACTTATAGAATCTTATCTGCTATACCTGAGCGGCTAAAGTAGACCTTTTGAAACTGATGGTCATTGGAGCGAATTTACCTGTATCCATAATCCAACAGGTTATATATTTAAGATGTTCCTTATAGTATTTTTTGTCTAAGAAATATTCCTGATTGCTGCTTTTCTAATTGTCACCCTGTATATGCTCGACCTACACTTAAGCGTAATCATAGCTTCCCGATGTACGTAAAAACTCAAAGGGATTGAATTGAGTTATTATTAATGGAGTTATGACTTTTTTAAAATAATGATGTTTTGTAAAGTAATACTCTACAAACAATTTTTTCACTCAAAAACTGAAGTGAGTGTAGAGTTGAAATTTTGAGGACCTTTTCCTAAAAACTCATTGTAAAAAATACTAAAAACTCAAAGGGATTGAATTGAGTTATTATTAATAGAGTTGTGACTTTTTTAAAATAATGATGTTTTGTAAAGTGATACTCTACAAACAATTTTTTCACTCAAAAACTGAAACGAGTGTAGAGTTGAAATTTTGAGGACTTTTTCCCAAAGAATCAATGTAAAAAATACTTAAAACTCAAAGGGATTGAATTGAGTTATTATTAATGGAGTTATGACTTCTTTAAAATAATGATGTTTTGTATAGTAATACTCTACAAATAATTTTTTCACTCAAAAACTGAAGTGAGTGTAGAGTTGAAATTTTGAGGTCTTTTTCCTAAAGATTCAATGTAAAAAATACTTAAAACTCAAAGGGATTGAATTGAGTTATTATTAATGGAGTTATGACTTCTTTAAAATAATGATGTTTTGTATAGTAATACTCTACAAATAATGTTTTCACGCAAAAACTGAAGTGAGTGTAGAATTGAAATTTTGAGGTCTTTTTCCTAAAGATTCAATTTAAAAAATACTAAAAACTCAAAGGGATTGAATTGAGTTATTATCAATGACTTCTCTAAAATAATGATGTTTTGTAAAGTAATACTCTACAAATAATTTTTTCACTCAAAAACTGAAGTGAATGTAGAGTTGAAATTTTGAGGACCTTTTCCTGAAGACTCATTGTAAAAAATACTAAAAACTCAAAGGGATTGAATTGAGTTAATATCAATGGAGTTATGACTTTTTTAAAATAATGATGTTTTGTAAAGTGATACTCTACAAACAATTTTTTCACTCAAAAACTGAAACGAGTGTAGAGTTGAAATTTTGAGGACTTTTTCCCAAAGAATCAATGTAAAAAATACTTAAAACTCAAAGGGATTGAATTGAGTTATTATTAATGGAGTTATGACTTCTTTAAAATAATGATGTTTTGTATAGTAATACTCTACAAATAATGTTTTCACGCAAAAACTGAAGTGAGTGTAGAATTGAAATTTTGAGGTCTTTTTCCTAAAGATTCAATTTAAAAAATACTAAAAACTCAAAGGGATTGAATTGAGTTATTATCAATGACTTCTCTAAAATAATGATGTTTTGTAAA